TATAGTAATCTTATACTGTATAAGCAGGACTCTCGCTAACATTTCTTGACACTTATAAGAACGTAAGAAGTGCAGTTTTATATGTATGAGTTACTTCAATGTATTAAGCTGGTAATTTAGTTAACTTCGATTTGGTTCAGTGTAATACCATTTATACAGAGGCACCCCTTGCCCAGCAGTGAGACACATATAGGTTGTTATTTTACTTTACTAAATAAGGAGCAATAAAACAAATTAAACATTAAAATTTAAATACAGGTTTGTTGGTTTACGTTTATCTCATTATCGCCATTACCAACACATTTACTAAAGGACTAAGTTAATAGTAATAATTTGGAAAGAAACAGTTCAGTTTCCGAATTCTAGTAACAGATTCAAGTTTATAGCTATTCTTAACCCGATATGTTTTGCCAAATGAAACTCAACAAATCCAATAAATAATTCCACCACACCTTTTTATCTATAGAACAAATAACAATTTTGGGGCGCACGCCGCAAAAACACGCAATTTTATGTGACCGCAAACACAAACGGGCGACTTCATGTCCGGCCTGGGTTCGAACTCCTGCCGCCCAGGTAGATATTTTATCTAAAGCCTCTTTCAATTTTGTGACTCAACGTGCCTTTGATAATTTATTGAAATGTTGCAGTGACTTTATTTCTTTTGGCTCGGTTCGAAATAAAATTTTATTAGGGCGCGATAAGGTACTCTCTGTTATTTCCTTATTTATTTAAAGACCATTTATTTCTGTAAAATAATCGGTCTAATAAAAATAATGTATTTTAAATTTAATGCATGTCAACTTTTCCTAATGGTGGTTTCGGCACTTCGCCGTTTACCTCTTATTATTATAAAAAAGTATATTTTGATGGCTATCATCGCTTTTAGTTTTATTTTTAAATTCCCCATTTTTCTATCACTTCACGGGATCCAAGCGGCAAGTAGTTTAAACAGCAATGTCAAACAAATCGAGACAATAAATTTTTATTACAATTTAGTTTTTAAGAACCCGTTAATCTTATCTGCCGTCTCTTCGTACATTCGCTCTCATTAGTTCCGCAAAAGCCACGCAAGAAACGCCAACGTGTGCTCACCGGTGCACGTTCCAGGAACTGGAAGAGTCCTCGCAAGAATACGTGCCCAGTGTTACGTAAGATGCGATGCTTATCTAACCCACTTGGCCCAGTCCTGAGTCACCTTTTCGCGTTCCGCTCCCCACGGGGGAGACGGAAAACGCGAGGGTAAGATGTTTGTCCACCAGTAGCCGTCGATCCCATAATAGTCCTGCACGCGGGTGTGACTTTCACTATACACACGGATAGACGTGCACACAGAAAAACGTGTGTACAGTTGTGTTTAATACATATTACACGGGCGCGGTCGGGCTCCGTCAATATTTGTTTAGGTTGGACCTACCGCGGCATAGATTCCGAGAACGGCTAGCGGGGATCTTATCGAGTTATGTTGCACTGTTTTACGGGAGAGGTGGTCCAGTGTTTCACGTGTCGCGACTTTCAACGCTTTGCTATTTTACAGCGCGGTATGAGGAGGAAGTACGCTTCTTTATGTTTAACTAGATCATTGTTGTATTAGCCAGGTGATGCTGAAGCTTTGTACCCTCGTGAATTTCCGTCAGTCGTCAAATTTCTTATTAGGAATAACTTTTTGATACACTAAGTTTTATGTGAAAAAGAGTTGAGAGATATTGATGCTGCATAATTGCTGCGAGTTAGCCGCTTCCTACTTAGTGGTGATATTTTTACACGATAGTGTAATCAGTGCTTTGCCTGCATTCAAAAAAGCTGACTCTAGTCGGTTATTTCACATACACGGTTGGAGATTGGAAGTTCTAGTTAGATTTACGCATGTTATACATTTATACATATGTGCAAATGTGTGGGAAGTCGATGAATGCAGGTGGCTTAGTTATCGTGCTTCGTGGCTGTTTCTGGGGGAGCTGTGGACTCAAACAGGCTGCAATGATATGATATTTCCAATGTAAATTATTATCAATAAAATCGTCCTAGCTAAACGAGAAATCAATGTCAATTGCAAAAGTACCGATTTCTAGACAATGAGATGAATTTTCTAAGTGAACTTTTACACGACAATTTAAATAATTTTATGCGCTTAACTCACGTCATAACACATTTCCTTATACGTTGTTACAGAATATTATTTTAAATTAAATATAAAAAATAATATGTGTTGTCGCATTCGTGATGATTCGAAACTAATAAAAGGGTATATAATCTGTGAGTGATTTCGATACTCAAGGCTAGATTTCTTATCATCATTATTAACATACTTTATATGACATCACACACATCAAACCAAACGGAATACTGCGAACAAACACTAGAACTGTTATCATTAATTATTTATATCATATCGGAATGAATTAAATAAAGGTTTATCTCTACGATAAGCTCTTATGCGGTTTGTGGCGTTGTATTTTGTTTATTATTGTTTTAATTATGTCGAGTGTTGTAATATTTAATTGTAATGTCAAATGGGACAATAATATTTTAGTATGCACATTGTATTTACAACTTACGATACCACGACATTTTGTCAACGTGATACATGTTTCATTCAATTATTGTGATTACACCTATTTTTGAAATTGAACGATAGATATAGCGTACTTTAAAATTGTTAATTAAATAACCTTATGGAATTTCTACTGAGGAAGACGACCCAATCTAACAAAAAAACAATAATAGGTCAATCATTTATAAAATTACAAACATATAAGTTAAATTAAAAACACAAACTTAAATGCGGGACTTACTGGTTTAGACGACAATTTAGGTCCCTGTCACGACGACAACTTTGAATGGAGTCGAAGCCTTCTTGCCCTATTAATACTCAAAAAATGTCGATGGTTATTCAAAAATGATGCGCCCCGCACAAAAAAAGTTTGCAACTACTGTGTGCGAAACGTTTTTCCTAATGTTCATTCCACATTCGTCGTCGCTGCTATTGTCGCTTAACTGCGTTTGCATTTGTTTCAAAATAGTATTTAGTTCTCGTTTTCAATATAAAATATTCAATTCAGCTGCTCTTTAAAATCCAACTCTATATCTATCATTAAGCTAGCATAATAGCTAAAATATAGTTGTGGCGGCCATTAAACTTAGATAAGTGAAGCTTGGTGCATTCATTATATTAATTGCGCGTTTACAAGTGAATTGCTGACAAATTGAAAAGAAGTACTCCTGCATATTACAGTAAGAGGGAAGTATAAAAAGAAGTAATAAGATGAATTAACATCACCTCTTTTTAGAGGGGTGTAACGATATGCATGCATATTTGCGTGGGTTATATTCGTTATTCATGAATACTCGTTATGATGTATGCTAGTGTGCAAATAATCAGTGCTGTATACAGCAGGTGTCTCCTGTAGCTACGAAGGGGTAAAATATACTTTTCGCTGATTCGACATACAAGAATTAGACAATATATATCGATAACATATTAAATATTGGCCTATGGCAAATAGATATCAGTTCCTTTAATTTTAGAATTTGTATTATAATTACGTTTTTATTGTTATATGTTTTCCAGTTATGAAATAAGCTTTTTGCTAGTCTCATAAAATTCATAAAACCCCAAAACTAATACCTAAACATAATAAAATTAGATATCAAGTATTTGTGTCATAATATTATCAAATAAAGTGTCTATGAAACCTAAAAACGATTTACTTTACATATTAATTTATAAAGATAACATTACGCCCTTTTTCTTAAAGACTGATCAACGTAGAAATAAACTAATCAGTTGTCACATGGTTTGTTAAATGTCATTTGAGTGGCTAAAAGGATGGTTAAACCTTGGATTTAGAATAAAAAACAATTTCAAAAAAAAAAAACTCTGATCACATTTAACAAGCCATTTCTCATCATAGCCATCACAATTTCTACGTTGATCAGTCTTTCAGAAATCGGGCGTTAGTCTATTAAGTTGACCAAACGGTAAGCTTGAAGTGAATATAAATAATTTAAAAACCGTCAAATAAAATTCTAGCCGGCTAAATAGTAGACAATGCGCTCTCGAAAATTTCACCGAGGCGGACTATTGTGAAGTACATTCGTGAACAATTACGCAAAACGACTCCTTGTCTCGGTATAATTTCCTCGTCAGATGCTCACCCCTTTTCGTCTTGCGTAGTCATGTATTCATTCACTTCGCTAACTGTACCCTTTGTTTTGCGTACGTCTAAATTTAATCAGAACCTTGGTTTGTATATTAAATACTTGATAAAAATTTATCGTGTATGTATATAAATAGAAATAGCTGATACATGTCCTATGATTTATATTATATAGTGTTTGGCTTTAATAACTTCAATCAAGATACCATATCGTTTTATAAAGGGCTGGTTACAACTTAGTGCCTAATGACGTCAACTCACGCTTTGACATTATAGATTGGAGTAGCAGTGCAGTCGGCAATAAACTATTGCAAGTTAGAACGTAAAAAGTTTTGTCGTACCATTTATTTTTATTTATTTTTTTTGCAAAAAAATTGTCAACGAGCTAGCAGTTCGCCCAATTAAGACCGCCGCCCATGAACATCTGCAACACTTGAGGACTTGAAAATGAGTTTGGAAACTTTTGAAAAAGTGACTCACTCACCAGTCAAAACGCGGCAGTATTCCTCTTCACGCTGATCTTCAATGAGCCTGTGGTACCACCTATTGAAAATTAAAGTAAAAGCCTATGTAAGCCCCACTTACGGGCGTCAGTACAGAGGGTAATAGGGACGAGACCGAAACGTGATTTTCATTATGTAATAACATATTCTATATGTTACATACAGCTATATAGTTTATAGATCACCACCCTAAAATCGCACAAGACGGTATTTCCGTCACGTAACTTCAAAATAAACCACGGAATGGGATGGGGACGGTGGACATTAACATGTATATGGTGCCAGTCAACATAATTTATCAATACCGTATCGACTAACTCTGAGTTGAATTCAACAGGTAAATTCGAACCGCACCCAGCAGCGAGCTTCAACATGGGCTACCTAGTGACACCGTACCCCTACCCCAACGGTGGGGCACATCCGCTGCCCGTCTCCATGGTAAGTGAAACGTGACCAACCATCTAGAATGATCGGCTCCGAATTGAAATATTATGCTATAGGTTATATAATAATATGTCATAATATATTAAAAATGTATTATATAAAATATGACGTTATAATCTATTGATTTCATGAACGCTGGAAAGGATTCGAATCGTCAAGAATTCAAAAATCTAAATAAAACGCGACAGAATCCGTAAAACAGTTTCATAGTTATGGTGTACAGAAATGAAATCATAGAAGGTGACAAAGGCGGGAATTTTCACAAACTATAAATACGCTTGTTAGCCATTTTACCAGCTCGGAAGCTGGTACCTAATATATTATTATTTTTATTTTAGTTTGTCGAATCGAAATGTCATCTTCAAGTCAATTATTTTCATATTATTATTTTATAAGAAAATTACTACTACTAAATAAAAATATTACTGTTATATGTACTTATTTTATTAGTTGTTTAGTTAAAACTCAAAATATAACACCGAAGTCATTTCTGACGCGCGTATCAAACACTTCGAGATATTTATATCTAATCGCAATTATCTCTCATGTCTATCCGTTCAACATGTCGATTATGCGCTTTCGATACTTCACTTCTATGAAGTATTCAACGCTAGTTTATGTCGCCGGTTTTCTATTTACATTGCAATCGCTGCTAATATTCTAGAACAAATTAACTAGGTTTCAACTAGTTAATTTGTTCTAGAATATTCGAGGTTAATGTAAATTATAGTATTTAACCTTTAAACGAGCAATTCTTGTATATGTATATATATCGGAATCTCGGAAACGGCACCAGCGATTTTCATGAAATATAGTATGTGCGTAGATTCGGGGGCGAAAAATCGATCTAATTAGGTTTCATTTTTAGAAACTATCCTTTTATCCCTGTTTTCAGGGAATGAAAAATATCATTCGAACATGACGGTAAATTTCGCCGACAAAAAATGTTATAATAGCTCGGTTAGTAATCGGGTGGTCCCGAAAAAGAAGGCCGCGGTTTGTGTCATGATCATTTACACATTTATTTTAGTTTTTACCAGGTACTATTATTAATAGAATATGGTAAAAAAAAAGTTAAGTAACAGCCTATACATGTCCCACTGCTAGGCAAAGGCCTCCTCTATACAGAGGGTATCAGGACATAGTCCACCACGCGGCCCCACTGCGGATTGGCGGACTTCACATATCTTCTAAGTATATTTTTTTGTTGTTATGATTTCGATGCAGGTTTCCTCACGATGTTTTCCTTCACCGCGGAGCACGTGATAAGTCAGAACTTAAAGTTAAGAACTTCATTGGTGCCGGCACCGGGGATCGAACTCAGGTTGCTCGAGTATATTGAATTAAAGGCGAGCGCCCGGACACTGAGCTATCACGGCTCCAATGAATATGACGGCAGAATATGGTACGGAAACTGAATTCATACTGGCTTAACAATCAAACAATCTACAAAGTCCGCGTCACAACCTTATTTTGTAAACATAAAGTGAACTCTACTCTACTCTGATCTATTGTGAAGTGTTTGGCGTGGCTAGGTTTCCTGTTATGCTAACTTTTAATTTTATATCTTGTCCTAAAATCACGCGGGATAGTAGCCAATGTGTGATAAAGAAACTCAAGGAATGACATCCAATGTTAAGGGATTGATAATCATTGTTGCTATTTTGTCAATTGCCGTTGGAGCTATCGAAAAATTATTGATATCGGAACTGGATATCACCCTTGTGGTCTTATCATGGATGGAATTTGCTATTCAAGTCCGGAGACCATGTGACGCTTCTCATGGACCTTTCAACAAGTTTAATATATCACGACGTCTTGTATCTTACGCCAAAATAAAATTTTAATAACAAAGTGATTATTCATGTTAAATGTATAATAATAATAATTTTTTGCCTTTAACAACTTCTAATATTTCAATAAGTTTCTCGTTTCATAAATATCATCATCAGCAACATTATATAGCCTGTTTTAGTTCAATGTAAATGTGCCTCCCCCAACCCGCTCGCCAGGAGTGGCAAAACATATGAGCAACATAAGCCATATTTATATCCAACATATTATATGCGGCCACACAAAATTGTATACATTATATTGTTGGTATTAAGAAATAATAAGCATGTTTTAGTCAGTGAAAGTTTATTTTTAACCAACTTCAAAAAAGGATGCAAATGATGTTCAATCAATATCAGCCTATTGCCGTCCACTGCTGAACGTAAGACTCCCCCAAAGTGCGCCAACTATCGCGGTCTTTCTTAAGTCGTCAGTCCATCGTGCTGCAGGCCGTGCCATATTATGTTTTCCTAACCGTGCTGTCCCCTCTAACACGTGTCGGCTCCAGCGACCATCAGTACGTATGGAGACATGGCCATTCAAATGATAATTGGCTGTAAATTTTTAAATTCTTATTATAACTAGTTAATGTAAGGCGATTTCGCTGCTTCACCCTTCTATTTCTTCTGATGGTAAATAGTAGGAATATAGGAATGTTAAAAGCGATAATTCTAAAAGCTTTATTTTTGGCTTACAGACTATGTGCACATTGTAATTGAAACTTTTTATTATACAATTCAACGAAAATTAAAATCAGAATGCGACAGCCACTGAAGGTATCTACTATTTATTATAAATAGAATCAACACATACCAGAACTTAAATGTATTGACGAACCCTTTACGACTAAAACAAAAATATGGAAGGATGGTCTTCATCGTAATTTAATCGTCCACGTGCTATTTTTATTTCGTTATTTCTCCGTAATAACCGCACCACGTGTTGGGCCGGCTTCGAACCCGGGACTTGCCGGAAACGGTTACCCAAACAGTTTTTATTTCTGTCTTCATCCTGCACCCGCGTGTGTCGAGGAGCAATCCTATCATTTGGCGATTATACGTACAGTAGTGTATCCTTTTAGTGTATTTTCATGATTTTGATTGTTTCGTTTGACATCGCTTTTCCTGTTGTTTACAGCATACATAAATGATAAACATATAAAGTTCTTAAACAGTAATATTATTATACAAAAACTCTATATAATGATATATTTTACATTGAAGCAAAAAGGTACTACACATGGTTAAATACGGATAATCAAATCAAAAATATATTTATTCACATAGACGCTTCGCGCGTTCTTATGAAATGTCAAAATTTTACATAAAAATTAATATGTTCATAAGATACCACCGTACTGTTAGTTAACCATTCTCTTGGACGAATTTATACTGTCATGGTGTCTTACCAAGCTTTACACAAATATAAAAGGTATGTAAATGCACGTGTAACCTAAACCCTTTCTGATGAAATTTCTTATATAAATTTGTATGGAAAATCGAATCATTATGATACATGCACGACATATTTCTCTTATCCTCGGCGTTAAAGTCTCTATAAGTTTTATGTTTCGATTTTATAATTCATATCAAGACAATTATTCCCAAGATTAGCTCTTTTTCTAGTAAATAAATGTAAATTACATTGAGGTCATTAAATATAGCATTAAAAGTGTACGGTACACTCGATAATGTATAGGCACGGTTTTCGTCAAGAATTAATTTCCATGGATAAGACGCTCCGTCCATCTTTCTATCTTTACGGCGCAGCGGCTATTTTCGATCGATCCAACGTAATGAATGGAAATTTCATATGGATTTAGTGCCCATTAGTGAGCTGTAAACTTTATATTTTTATAAGCGAACGTAAGCGTCGAACGGCGTTTCTTATTAGTATCGACCCATTAAAACGCCCCTAATGCTCGAACTCGTCTACGCCGATAAAAAATGATTTTACGACTTAAAAAAGTACAGCCGGAGCGGATGGAAATGGAGTGGACGGAAGAGATTGCGATTTTCAAAAATCGAACGCTCTATCGCAGCCACGACAACCGTTCGATACCTAACCCCGGCGGCCAGTACGCATGCACGGAGTTCGCCATTCGAATCCTTTAGAAAGCGGTGAGAAACGAAAAGAAACCTACGGCGAAAATGCGAAACCCCGACGCAACAGGTGGACATACGGCCGTCTCATTCTTTTCAACGCGGCGCCAAGTTCGCTCTCTGTTGTGCGGAAGCCACCCCCCACTGTCGCCGCCCCCGCTCTGGGGCGGGAAATCTGAAGGAGGGGATGGGATGGAAACGCTTTTCTTTTTGCTCGCGGGGTGTGTTTTAGGGCTTTTGTCTGGGTGAATGCGGACGGCAATTTCGGGGTCGCTTGCTCTCGCCCCGCCGCGGGACCCGCGGATCGAACGGTTCGCCTCACCGCGTGGAAAGAAATCCGCGTTTTCGTTACGACATGAAGAAAATGCCCCAATCATTATGTATGAGTTGGCTTTGCCATTGAGAGGCGCGAGAAGCCGATTTCGTTCGCTTTCCGACATTGTATTTTTTTTAAGTCAGCTAATTTATAAAAAAAATATGTGTAGTAAAATATATCTTGCTATGTAGATAATAACCGTAACGTAAAATACTCGGTTTTAAAAATTTGTGTTATTTCCAAGCCAAATTTAATTGTAATTAAACAATTTCTTTTTCTTAATAAAATATAAGTACATTTCGTCATCAACTACTTAAAATTATATTGACAATATTTTATGCAAAAGACACGGCTTATGTTATTTTTAGTTCAGTAACTCACTTAAGATATTAAAATTTAATAGTGATTATGTTTTAGTCAGGTACTGTGAGTATTATGAGTACAATGGAAATATCCGAAGTTACGGCATCTAATGAGCCAAACGGGCCATCCGGCGCAGTTCCCAACATCGGTGTCAAGGGTGCTACTGGATAGAAGTAAACTTGCTGCTTTCAACTCGAAAGTGGTTTAGCATTCGGTCCCCTTGGGTATCCTTTAGCCGCAACTCAGACTACCGGTGAGGCCAATGAACTTTAGGAAGTTTGTAGTGGGTTAGGTTGTAAAATATCCATAAAGCTTTAATAGTTAACGGACTGAAAGTCTCATACTTTATTTCGATAAATTTTATACGTTTTTGTCCCTTT